TAGATATGGATATAGATATAGATATAGATATAGATAAAGATAAAAATATAGATATAGATATAGATATAGACATAGATATAGATATAGATAAAGATATAGATATAGATATAGATATAGATATAGATATAGATATAGATATAGATATAGATTTTTTGCTAGGGCCATGCGCGCTGTCTTGCGCGCTTTGGCGCCCTCTCTAGGGATTGTCGCAGGGTTCGGCCTAACTCTACGTACTTTAACTGCGGCCCAAACAGTGACCCTGCGGTGTGGTCAGGCAAGTCGGGATCATGCCTTTTAATGATGGTGTTCAACCAGTACGGTATTGGCTTTCCTCTTCTACGACCCTGCGTTAGGATGCGGTCTTTCAGTGCCGAACAGAAGACTACATTATGTAACGGGTCGTTCATGCTATGGCTATATACCTCCACCAGCATCTTGTGCTGTATGGCGTTGAGAAGGTCCCCCGCGCGGTGTGGTCTGCCTGCCTGATTCCATACCTCCGTGTTAGGAATTCTAGAGTAGTAGGCCGCCTTGATGCCCAGGACTCTTCTGAGAAAACGATAGTATTGGCCGTTAATTGTGTGTAGATGTTTTTCCGTTAGGGAAAGTGCATCTAGACCGTACAGCAAAGATGGAATAATGGTTGGATGAAAGATGTGGAGTTTTCTCTGTTTTCTCATACTTGAGTTCCATACCAGTCTAAGTTTTTTGAAGTCTGCTTCTGCCAACGCTAACCGGTGATAGAAGGCCTCGTGGAACGGGCGATCCCATGATATCATGGAGCCTAAACATTTTACCTTAGTAGACCTGGAGACCTTGTCACCTGACTGAAAGTAGAGGTCGCCCTGTGTTCCTGGTTTAGCCAAATGTTCTGTCTTGGTTTCGTTTAACGCCATGCCATATCTGGCCGCTTCGGCTTCCAGAGTGGAGAGGAACTGTTGAAGTTGCGGTGTGGTCAGGGAAATTAATAAAGTATCATCTGCATATTCCAGATCGTAGGTGGGGTTCCCCACTGACCATGTGTTTAGGGGAACTCCTGTTTGGATCAGCCTATCCTCCACATCCTGCATCAGCACAGATAGAACGATAATGAAGAGATACGGTCTGAGAGGACATCCTTGCCTTATACCGGCCCCCACCTTGCCCGTACAGCTCTCCCCCTGCCAAGAAGTAACCTGAAACACTGGTGATTTATAGAAAGCATCAATCAGGGCGATGAAGTTAGGGGCTACCCCAAATCTGCTTAAGGCTTTTACCATGGCGGTGTGGTCGAGAGAATCGAATGCCTGTCCCCAATCCAGAAACAGCAATTGTAGCGGCTTTTCTGTCATTTGTGCCCATTCCATGGCTCTGCGCAAAATGAACAGCGGATGCGTTGTGGATCGGCCTGCCCTAAAGCCGTATTGTGTCTTCCGTAGTTTTGGTTCCGAGGATCCCGAGAGTCTGCTTTGTATGAGTGAAGCGAAAATTTTATAGCTGGCGTTCAGTAAGGAAATGGGACGGTAGTTGGCAACATCTGTGTCACTACCTTTGCCTTTGAAGATACTAACTACTGTGGCGTTATACCAATCCTCTGGGATCTGCGGTGTGGTCAAGATGTCGTTATAGACCTGTAGCAAAAGAAGCTCGCCCTCGGAATCTAGTAAGCTGTACAGCTCGTTAGGGATTCCATCTGGTCCTGGGGCCTTATTCTTCGTAAGTTTGGAGAGCGCCGCTTGTAGCTCCGCTAACGTAAAAAGGGGTTCTGGGGGGCTCTCTGGGAAGAGGTTAGGGCCCATGTTCTGGAGATCTGCTAAGGCCTGCGGTGTGGTCAATCTAGAGGTCCATTGCTTGTTCTGAAGATGGTCCCGGAACGCTTCATGTGATTTAGACCATGGTATAGGTTTACCTTCTACCATCAGGTGAGAGCGCTTCCCAACGAGCCCTCTTTTCTGTTGTTTTGCCATACGCCAGACTGCCTGGGTGATTCCCCCTGGGTCCTCCACGAGCCTGTCATGTACCCACTTGATTCTATCTTTACGTGCCATTCTTTTTGCTTTGTTTCGCAAGGGCTTGGCTGTCGGTAGGGCCTCCGCCTCCGCTGCACGAGCTTCCTGTAGAGCATTAAGCGTTTCATCTGTAATCCAGGGTTTGCGTGGCAGCCGCTTTTGTAGTTGAAAGGTGTGTTCGGCTGCCTGCCTGAGCGCTGATACGAAGTCGCTGGAAGTATTTGTAGCCACCCGGAACGGTGTGGTAGGTGGCGCCGTGAAGTTGCGTCCTCCCTCGATGTGTTGGGTGGTTTTACCCTTTTCCGCGAGTTTGTCCGCGCGCTCATTACCCCGATCACCCGCGTGGCCTTTGACCCACTGAAGCTTTGCCTTGCCTTTGGGAAACTTTAGAAGAGCGCGTATGAAGTTGATCAAGCCGTGATGGGTTTTGGGCCTCCATTTCCCTGTGATGACATTAATAGCCCATTGGCTGTCCGACCTTATGACTACGCGGTGGTATTTCTGCTCATGCACGTACAACAGTGCCTTTGCAATCGCGCTAAGCTCGCCTGTGTTATTGGATCCAACAGACGCGCCTATAAAAGCGGTGTGGTCTGGGTCAGTGATTACCGGGCCACTAGCGTCTATCCAATCTAGCTCTCCGTCTTCCCCTGTCCTTTCCGCGCACCACCCCCCAGCCGGCTGGGGTGGAAGGGCCACAGCGTCCTCTACTACCCGAGCCGTCCGTGTAGAATGTACATTCTGCGGTGTGGTCAGGAGAAAGAGACCCCTCGTCTTCAGCTACGTTCTGGAGGCCTAGATTATATTTGAGACTCATGTTGAATTGCGCCTTAAGTTCCGGTGTTACCTGGGAAAAATCAAATCTACGTCGAGGAGGCTTCCTGGTACTCTTAGCCGCAAGCTTGACCTGTACTTCGGTTACCAAAGGGTAGTGGTCTGAGGGAAACCCTGCGTGAAGCTTGGACCTACATGAGCTAACTGAATGCAGCCACGGAGCTCGAACAAAGGTGTGGTCTAGTCTCTGGAATCTCACTGGATCCGCGTTGGGCTGGTTTTTCGTTGGAGGAAGAAGTTCTGGAAGGTCGAGAAAAGACCTAGCTAGGGCCGAAATTTCAAGAGAGCTTTCATGGAGAAGATTCTGAAACTTAGAGTATAGCTGCTGCAGTAGGAGGGGATCCATGATGAACAGCTCCCAAGAGGCTGGCGGTGCTGCCTTATCTCTGTAAGTAATGTGATGTACTGGCGTGGGGGTGATGTATGAAGCAGCCTCCACCATTCCTAGAGATTGCATGGTCTTAATACACAAAGCTCGGTTGGAGGTGGCGGTGTGGTCGATGAATCTTGTGCCCTTACCATACGTGTGCGGTCCTGTAACCCCCTCATCGCTGCGATGTGAAGCCTGAAATCGTACGTTGAAGTCCCCCGTTAAGTACAATGGCTCTGGGTGTGGGATTCGGGAGAGGTGTTCATCAAGGGTTTCCCAAAATGGCTGTCTGTCCGCCTCAAAGTCTCTACCCGAGTGAGGATCATAAGCCCCTACCACATGAACAGCTCCCCCTCTCTTCTGGAAACTGAGGTGAATAATCCTGTTATTGACCTGGATCACATCCATCAGATACGGCCTGAGATGCGGTGTGATTATCGCTCCCACTCCCGCGTGCTTATCCCGATTATTACCCGACAGAATGACCAAGTGGCCCTCCGATATATACGAGTAATACGAGCTGCTTTTGGTCTTCGACAGCATAAGCACATCTATGCGGTGCTTTTCCATAAGTTGAAGTGCTGATTTTAGTTTTAGGGTATCGGCAAAACAGTGAACATTCAGCGATCCAATCCTCAGCTTAGCTGAATATGGAAGAGGCGGTGTGGTCGGATAATGCTGTATCCGTTTCTTTCTTTCGTACCGTTTTTTAACGGTATGCTGCCATAGCACTGCTTGCCTAAACCACTTAGCCCTATTAGGAGTGGCTTTTGTGAGCTGACTGGGAACTGGTGTACGGGAGCCCGCCCCATTCACCAAACATTGTTTGCACTGTCGCCGCCAGCTGCGGTAGAGAGCCCTTCGGGCCCTCCTGCGGCCAGCGCCCCTCGACTGCGCATGTGGTTCCCCGCCCGTTGGGGTGCACTCTTCGTCGGCCTGCGCGGCCCCCGGCGTGCCTCTTGGAGGCGGTGCTCGGCGGTTTGTCAGGGTGTTAATTCTGTTAATTCTACGAATTCTAGAGCGACTGGAAAAATTATTTCGCAAAGCCTTAGGCTGTGGCTTATAAAAATGTTTATATCCGGTGTGGTCCAAAGCCGTGCGGCGAAGACCTGTCCTGTTCCTGGGTACTGCGGCGTTGGCGAAGCCAATAAAAGGCGGTGTGGTCTGTGTCTGGGAGAGAACTGGGAGATTGATGCCGGGAGGGGTTTGTGGGCAAACCTGGCGGCGGAACTGCGATCTTGTGTGTACCGGGGGCTGCTGTGGGGGAACTAGGGAAGCTAGATCCAGACGAACCCTAGCCTCGAGTTGTGAGCCTACCCATGTCATGTGAAGCGTTGTGTTACCATGTGCGATATGTGCCTGCTTGTTACGGGCTGACTGCAGTACCTGTTCATATCCCACACAAAAATTTAACATAGAGGGCGGGGTGGTCCTAGGGGGAAAGGTGCACTCCAGCAAAAATCCGACAGCGAAAGTTGGCCGAGGATGGGTTACCTGAGAAAGCTTTGAAAAAATAGGCAGGGCTACCCTACAGATTTTGGTGGCCTCTGCTACCCCCGGCCGTCGTGCCACAATCCCCTCAAAAGAGACCGCGACCGCTCTGCTGGCGGTGTGGTCTTGAACTATGGCTGCTCTTATGTGCGGCTGCAGGCCGGCCCTCAAAAAAGTTTCAAAAGCGGGCCAGGCCATACACAGCAGAAAGACTTCGAGCTCAGAGAAAATTATCGGCAAAACTTTGCCAACCCATCACTTGGCCTTCGAGCCTTTGCCACCACTTGCCGCCGAAAAGGATGGCGGTGTGGTCGAGGCCTGCGGTCCTGTGGCATCCGACATCTCTGTATCGCCCGTGGGTGGTGGCACTGCTGGCTTGCCCTGATACGTCGAGCAAGCCAGGTCCCCCACGCACTCATCTGGCTTGCCCACCTTCTGGCAGTACTCATCCCAGCAAAAGGCGATGTGGTCACACGTCACGATGTCCAGGTCGAAGGGGTACGGCATGTAGTAGTCGTTGTGGACCATGGTCTGGGACCAATGCTTTCTTCCTTTGCCCTTTTTGGATACCTTTGCCAGAGATGGCGGTGTGGTCTCTGGCCTCTTTGTATGCCGCTGCCTCCGCTCTGTCCAGCTCGTACTGTGCTCCCCACATGGTATCGTTCCAGCATTCGGTCCAGAGATCCGGATCATTGGCACCCTCTGCACGCACCATAGTCGACGGTGCTGCCATGGCCTCATTCATGGGCGGTGTGATCTCTAGTCGACCACGAAAAGTACCATCCACTTCAGCATAGAAAAAGCCTGGCCCAAGCGACAATATCACCATTGAAGCTTCTCTCGGAGCTCGGCTCCATTAGCGTCAGTGTTTTCCACAAAATAACCAGCGACTTCCCGGTATACTCTGTGTGCTTGTTGAGCACCTGGAGCAAAACTCTGATCGGTGCCTCGAGCTTGCGCTGCCATTGCGGCGAGCTCGGACTGACTCTGATATGCTTTCCAGTAAGCGGTGTGGTCTCATCAGAGTATAACGGCGTTCCACCCATTCCGCCGTACTTCTCCAAAAACGCGGATCGAAGGTCAAAAGCCTTAAAGGTGAGTAGGGTCATCCCGGAGTACCAGTCCCGGCCATTGGGTACTGTCACTGGCTCAACGGAGAGCGCGTTGAGCCAGCGATTTCCCTCAGAGGCGGTGTGGTCATTGATGAACCCCGTCATTTCCAAAAAGGTTCTAACCTTCGGCACCTGCTGCAGCATCCACGTGATCATGAAGAGGCGGTTTGGTGGGGCCATTCCCTGCGGCCATCCACTCGTAATAATCTGCAAAGCACAGTTGTGCTTCTGGGCTGCCCTATTCTCAGCAGCCATCCACTCAAACTCCTGCTTCGCCTTGAAGAGGTCGTCTCCCACGTTGGCCAGTGCAGTCTCCAGCTGCAGGACAAGGTGGTACGTCTCTGGGCGTATCACCTTCTCGTGGTAGCTTCTCACCAGTGTGAGGACGTCCTTGTTGGTGCGAACTGGTGCCTCCAACCAAGTTTGCATAGCACTGTCATCTTGTGGCTGCACTCCATACGTTGATGCCACAACTTGGGCTGCGGTGTGGTCTTGGAGGGACCACGGCTGTACCAGAGTGGGTCCGGTTGCCTCGTTGGGGCCTGTCTCTTGCGGTGTGGCCAAGGAGCTGATCGCCGGTGCGCTTCACACTCGCGCGCTCCTGCCAGTAAATCTCCTGAGCCGCACGGTACGCAGTCGTCCGCGTCATCTGTCGCTGCTCCTGAAAAGCCCCCATTGCCGGGTTAACCCAGTCCTGAGGGTTTTGTCCTGCATGGCTACCGTTCCTTTAAGGAGCGGTGTGGTCAGCAAAATGCCGACAAAAACAACTCTAACTTGCACGTGCTCCGGCACCTGACAGCCGATACGCCTTATAGATATAGATATAGATATAGATATAGATATAGATATAGATATAGATATAGATATAGATATACATATACATATACATATACATATACATATAAATATAAATA